GGTGACCTACTTACCACTGGCTATCGTGCAGGTCACGGGTTCAACTCCAGGGAACTGTACAGATACTGTACACAGGTAAGCTGAGGTCAAGGGATCGACCCCTGGGATCTGCATCGGCTACTGCCAAAGGTGAAAACTGTTTCACCATAGCCATGACTACGACTATGTTCCCCTCTAGTAGTAATACAATATATGCCTGCAAGGGCATATTCACACTAGGATTTTCAGAGACGTATCTGAATGCAATTATAGCCAGATGCTGTCAAAAAATCCCCAAGTCTGAGTTGTAGCCTAAACTAGTGAGGTGGAAAGACGGTAATGTAAAGTAGTCAGGGCTAGCTCCTTGCTGGTTTTGGCTACACTGTAGCCATGGTTGCGCTAGTTTAGGCCGCCAGATAGTCACACCATGCTCCGATTCCGTGGACAGGGCTAATCTTTAGGGAGGAGAGGTGACAGCTAACCAACCCGTGCAGGAACGATGAGGGGCTATTGTACAGCCTTTGAAGTTTGACTTGCTGTTCAGAATGAGAGATGCCGCGCTGCTTGGTTACCGCCGTTTGAGTCGTTAGACCTCTCTGCTGCTCGGTTTCCTGTTCCAAAATAACACAAATCTGTCCAACACACTTGAGACATGCCATCTTGAGGAACAACATCCCTACACTTATGGAAATCGCTAACGTGAGAATTGGCCGATCCGGGCCACCCGCGGTCCTACTGGCCCGGCTGTTCGGATTTCCGCGCGATCTTAAGACTTTAAGACTTTAAGATCCCGCGAATACAGGCCATACGGCAGGGTGGACGGCCTTGATCGTTGCACAATCTTTAAGTCTCAAGATCGCGGATGATTCGAGCCATCGGCCCGGTAGGACCGCGGGCGGCCTGGATCGTCGCGCCCGTTGAAAAGAGGGCCCGTCGTAAAAGAACGGCCCCGGCACCTGCTGGCCATTGGCCCGTTGCAGGGCGGGCGGTGCTATGGCCCTTCTCGCGAGTCCAACGGCCTGTGACTTCGTGTGTGCTGTGTTGCATGGCTGTGCTTGAAGGCCCCTCCGACGTGACTCTGTCTCCGCCCACCTCCCCTCCGTCAAAGAACGGCCCCGGCACCTGCTGGCCATTGGCCCGTTGCAGGGCGGGCGGTGCTATGGCCCTTCTCGCGAGTCCAATGGCCTGTGACTTCGTGTGTGTTGTGTTGCATGGCTGTGCTTGAAGGCCCCTCTGACGTGACTCCGTCTCCGCCCACCTCCCCTCCGTCTCCGCCCACCTCCCATGCTCCGATTCCGTGGGCAGGGCTACTCTTTAGGGAGGAGAGGTGACAGCTAACCAACCCGTGCAGCAACGATGAGGGGCTATTGTGCAGCCTTTGAAGTATGACTTGCTGTTCGGAATGAGAGATGCCGCGCTGTTCAGTTACTGCCATTTGAGTCGTTAGACTTCTCCGCTGCTCGGCTTTCAGTAGGCCGAACGTTTGCTTTCAGGGTTTGTATACAAGCGTGTTTTTGTGGGCGGCGGCGGCTGGGAGTGGTGGTTTATGAAGATCAATTTGCATGCTCATTGTGAAACTGTGACGGAGGCCATGTAATGTATTGTTCTCTCTGTGTCCCCTTATCACAGGCAATCCCAGCCTTATCATCGCATTGGCGGGGAACAAAGTCGACTTGGTTGCGAAGAGAAAAATCCAAATAGAGGTATGTGCTGCTCCAGAACTTTTGCCTTTGAAATGGTTGACGAAATAAATAAAATAAAATTCTGTGCATTGATTGCAGTCCCGTATTGGTGCTTGACCTGAACAAATAACACCTGTGCACAAATTTGCAGTGCGATTATGGATTCTAGCTGCTAAGGTATATTTCTCAGTGTCTATGGACTAATTAGTGAAATGATGTTTTTGAATTCATTGGTGTCAAAGGTTGCCTCCGTTCCTTTTGTCTTAAACTACCTCTGTGGCTGAACCAGTGGAACTTGCGGAGCCTCAGGTGGCCTAAAAGAGAAACAGTTGCTGCTAGAAAAAAAGTTTGGCTACCAACCTAGATCTTCGTGATCGTATCTGGGCTGCATTTTCCTTCCATAGCTGTGCTGGACTGCTACGAGGTTGTTAAGGGGCTAACCTCGACGGCAAATTTTGGAGCCCCCATGGCTCAGAGGCGGTTTAGCTGGTAAAGTTGGTGTCAGATGGCACCGCTACGAAGTCACTTGAAGCTTCCAGGCCGAAAGGCAACTACGGGATGTAAGCAACTTAGGTTGGAACAGGGAGGTGCATGCTCTCTGTAACGATGAGCGTATGTGGAATCTGTATCTGTGATAAGGTGGCTCTTCCAGTTTGTCTTGCTTTGCAATGCCACTTAGTTACATCAGCGAACCTTGTTTTTTTGCTATTCAAGGTCTTTAGAGTCTTTATGATCATGGTGTAGTGTTGCTGGATTGCTCAGTTTTGTAGGCAGTGGAGACCACACCTTTTCTACCGCTCTTATAATGTTGATTGTTGTTCTGCTGATCTTCTTGTTTGTCTCGCCTGTAACTCGTGCTGAGTTGGCTCTGTCGATGCATGTTGTGTCGCTTGTGCTTGTACTTCTGTATTTTTAAAGCAGCGGTGACATCATCTTTTCTACATTCTGCTCATTTTGTTATTCTCCTGCTGGTTATCCTAGTCTTCTATTTTCCTCCTCTTTTTATTTGACTTGGACCGTTTCTCGATCTATGCGTGTCATCCTTGCGCAGCGACCATGCTAATCTTCTCTGCATCGTTCCAATTTTAATTGATGTCCGGAAGGACTATCCTTCTCATTTTTGACAAAGGCCTTTTGCTTGTTGTGCTTCTTTGTCCTGCTGGGGCTCCATCTGCTCCAGTTACCCTCTCTATCTTCTTGTGTTCCATTTGCCAGCGAACTTCTTGCTTCTCCAGCTTTTGCATGACTGCTTCTGCGGCATGCTACTGCCTTGTAGCCCAATTTTTTGGGAACGCCTTTTTTTACCCTCCTGGGCCCGTACTGTCTTTGGCTTCAATTCCCTTCATTCCCATTCCTGTCCCCTTTCGTCACTTACCCCGTATGTTCGTTGCACCCTTGTGCTCTCTTTTACCTTGCGGTGTTTGCCCTTTGTTCTCTCTTCTTTACCTTCAGTGTTGCCCGGTTCCGACTGTTTTCTTCTTTCTGAGGTCCTGTTGAGGTAGGTAGGAGATTAGTCGCATCCGAGTTGTGCCCATCCTTCTCCGCCGCTCTCCCTCTGCCTCGCTGCTTCGTTTCCGACTGTGTGGTCGTTGAGCCGCCATACGGGTGACAGAGAAATTGTCTCAGAGTGGTTGGCATGGCTGTATTTCGCTCAGGTCCTGTTCTGTCCTCTGGGTGGGAAAATCTTCGGTATTCCCGGGTAGAGGACACATTCAGGGTAAACAATCTGAAATCCTCTGTGAGGGTTGACTGCTCCTGCCATGATGCATGAATTGGCACCTCATTTGCTCAGCAACCTATGCTGACTCCGTCAACGCCGCCTCCGCAGGTATTTGTGACATATGATTGCTTAGCTGCTTCAGCTTTTGCTCAGCTGGCTGCCTCTTGTAGCATTCAGCCATTGTTGTTGTTGTTGATGCGTTTGGCTGAGGTCACCCTTGCCTTCACATTTGCAATCAGACTCACTTTCTTACACAGCTCACATGCGTGTAAACAGGTAGCGCAGCAAACTGGCGACAAGGGCCCACTCAGAACTCAGAGATATGGTAAACAAAAACGCAGTTCAGATACAAGCTGACTTCGAACGGCTATGGCGCAACAGCGCCTGTACAACTCTCTGTTCGTCTCCAACCCAACTCTGCTGTTCACACACACAGGATCACCCTGGATATCCCACACGCATTGCACTGTACACACACGCATGCACACACACATTACACTCTCCTATCAGCTATGGCGGCTATGGCCGCTTCTACTCCTATCGCTATGGCTAAGCTCTCCTTCTCGCCCACTTCGTCTTCGGGCTCACTGCAGACCACCTCGCACAAGTCGCTGTGGCAGCGCTTCCGCATGGCTTACGCAGGAATGAATGAATGGCTGGGCGCTGCCTCTTGATTTATACTTCTATATCTCGTTGGTCTGCCCCTTTCCCGTGCTCGTGGTGCACACAGTCCCATACGGTACTTGCTTGACTGGACTAGGACTGACTGGGACTGGGTACCACTGACTCAGCACGGGTAGACTCCACCACTTGCCCACTTGCCTTGGTCTACCCTGGGCAGTACTTCGAAAGGCCACTTCCGGACCTTCCGGAAGACTGTGGACTTGGCCTTTCGGCACTGTAGCAGCTACGACCTTGACCCTTCAGGACTGTAGCAGCTACGACCTTGACCCTTCGGAGGAGCTACAGCTATGACCTCTAGAACTTGCTAAGACTCCGACAGGTCTACAGATCGAACCCCTATACCCTACAGACCTACGACAACCTAGCAACTGTGGGGAAAGACACAGGTTGTGGGTTCAACTCTCGGGGTGGGCACAGATACTGTACACAGGTAAGGTGATGCTCTAGGGATCGAGCCCTGGGACCTGCATCCGTTACGGCGAACAGGTGAATACCGTTTCACATGGTACTCTACCGTCTTCTCCCCTGAATAAGAACATACGGTAATTCTAGCTGTCCTTGGGGCAACTTTCAGTCTAGATGCAGTAAGAATGACCATATGTTCTATTCGGGGGAATACAGTAGACTGGAGAACCGCATTGGCGTTACGAATTGTTACAGTGGTAGAATCTACTGTCTTCCCCTGAGCACAACGTACGGTGATTACGACCGTATCCGACCGGCATTATAGCTTGTATACATTCATGGTATGGGGATGTATTTGGGTGAAGACGGTAGTGCAGTTGTGCCAGCCTAGACATTACTCATTTTGTGTGAGCATGGGTCCATGACTGCACCAGCTTAGAATACTCCGACAGTCTTGACTTTGTAGCATGGATAAGAAGTGCCCGATTGGGTACAGTATGTGGTGAGCGATGGAACATAACTGATGATCTTCACTGTTTGTTTGTAATCAGGCACTCTTGGCGAGTTATCATAAAGGCCAACGATGAAACATAACTGCTACCACGACGGGCTTGTGTGCCAATTTCTTGTGGCTCTGGTATTCATCGTGAGGATGTGCTTGCTTTTGTGCATTTCTCATGGCTTGCGTTGATCACTCATCAGCAAGTCCCGATTGGGAGGGGTGTTGTTTACAATTTACATTTATCTAATGGGTCCAGTGACTCCAGTGCTAAAGCGGCTTTCTCTGCCTTTCAGAGCCTTATCCCACGTCACAAATGTTCGCATCAGTGGGGCAGGCCCAAGTCACAGCAGCTACAGATGCAAGTAGAATAAGAGCATTTGGAAAGGGGATTCTCCAAGAATCTGACACACCAATACTTTTGGGGACCAAATAGCGGTCCAATTTGCAGGGTAGGCGGCGGACTTGAACGAAAGAAAGCGCCAGAAAAAGGTGCAATAACTGTGACTTCTGACAGAAGGAACAAAGTCGAACCGAAATGGATAAGCGGACCGCGGCATGTTCAACAGGACATGCACAATGACACGTGAAAATCACCAGAGGTCCCCAAGTACTTGTGCGTGTGACCTTTGCCTTGCTGTCTTCTTGTCTTTGGAACGTGTCATTGATCAGTAGCTTGAGCAGATATGTCTTTACGGTGGAGGTTGCAATAACTGGCTGATTGAGTGTATCCCATTCGTGCGTTGTGCACTGAGTTTTGATCACTCAATTCTCTGTGTTGTCTGCGTGTACAGGAAGGACAGGCGTACGCTGAAGAGAACGGCCTATTCTTTATGGAGACATCAGCAAAGACTGCGCACAATGTCAATGAACTGTTTTATGAGATAGGTAAGTTCGAAAATAGATTTGTCAATCTCCTGCTCTCTTCTAAACTACAAGCCCCGCCAGCGAACATGCAGAGGCTATGACCTCAACAAGAATATGGAAGAGACTAGAAAAAAGGGAATGAAAAAAAGAACAAGGAAGAGATTACTCCAGCAGAGATCATTTGGGTTGTGAGTTCCCACGGACATCGAAAAGTGTCTTCGAATCTATGTCGCCGGACAGGATGCCCTATCCCGCATTGGGATCCAGCCCTGACGAGTCCACTCCCGCTATTCGGAAAAAAAAGGGAATGAAAAAAAGAACAAGAGATTACTCCAGCAGAGATCATTTGGGTTGCGAGTTCCCACGGACATCGAAAAGTGTCTTCGAATCTATGTCGCCGGACAGGATGCCCTATCCCGCACTGGGATCCATCCCTGACGAGTCCACTCCCGCTGTTCGGAAACAAGCTTGGTTGTGGACTGTGTTTGACAAGCACAAAATGACCATTCTCCCTGGGCCTTTTTTTGGACATGTCTGGATTTGCCAGGCAGACCGCCAAGGACCCGTTTGCTGCAGAAAAGTCAGCTCGACAGTTTCACCTGCACATCTGGGTAAAACCACCTTCCAAGTCGAGCAGTGTCGGCGAGTGATCTCTTGTAGCGCATAGCTTGGTGAATATGTGCATGGTCTTCTCTAATGATAAACAAATGCATCGAGGATATCGATTTGGTCACGTAGCAAAAGATGATGATAAAGCAGCACCGCTCTTTTTGTACCAATGTAGCCATAACTTCCCGGACTGAAATCCGCATGGGCAGTTGCAATGGCACAGCTGAGGATGATCGCAACGGGCTTTGTATAACTGCTGGTCGCACCACAACTCTATGGTTGGTGGGTCGTTCTTCTGGGAAAGCACGTGGCTGGTTTCACCTCCAGTGTGTGAGAATCACAGGGCTGAAATATCGGAGTAGATTGACAAGCCAGGTGCAGTTTTGTGTCTCTGTTTTGGCCGAATTCGGGTGTAGGGGATCGTGGTCCTTGCCATAGAGGGCGTTTTGCTTGTTTCTGCTGATGGCGGACCTGTAATCGTGTGCGCATGTAGTGCGGAAGCGTGGAAAGGTAATTACATGTGCACACACTCTCTCTGTTGCGGAGAAGGTGGTCTTTCCGAGATGGTGAATGCCGAGTTGCTGCAAACTGATCCTCACTGGTTGGAAATTTCAAAGGGTGCTGAGATTGTGCCACGGTGTCTAATTGCATTGGACTGAGTGCCTTTAGAGGACGAATGCCACGCGCGAAATAAGAGAGGAGTGCATGCAGCACATGTGAGGGACACTAGTTGGTAGCGTCAAAGCATGCGTGCGAGACAGCATGCCTGTGTCCGACTCACTCACTCACACATGCACTTGATGCATGGAGACGCTTCTCCCTCTCAAGCAAATCTGCAGTCATGCTGCTTCCTCTCCCTTTCCCCATCCTCTCTTCTCTCTCGCTCTCTCTCTTCATCCTCCTTTGTGTATGTCCTAGTTCCTGATGTGCCTCTCTCTCTCGCTCTCTCTCCTCCTTTGTGTATGTCCTAGTTCCTGATGTGCACTTTTGCATAGAGAGAGCACATGCCATGTTTCAGATATATAACACAGTTAGATTGTGTATGTGTGTGTGTGTCAAAGAGAGAGAGAGAGAGAGAGAGAGAGAGAGAGACTCTCTGTTGCATACAGAGCTCAAACACGGTTCTAATTTCAGTTTGGGGACCTTTTTCAAAATGGTGATAATCTCCCTGCAAGTTTTTCTTGTCCTTATCTGGTGGATGATTCTCATCGCGTCTGTACCTCATGCATGTGAATGTTTTGTGTGCTTGTGATCACAGCTCGGAAGTTGCCTAGGGCGAACCCTGCTGCACAGCCAACTGGGATTGTACTCAATCAAGGAGCCAATGACAGATACCAACGAAGAGGAAGTGCTTGTTGTGCTTGAGAGAACATGGAGCTTTCTAGGGAGGAAATGGTGGTTTGCCATTATTGAAATGGAGAGGGGCCTTGGTACGGTGGGTCACGTAGAGGAGAAATCGTCCTAGTGAACAATCATCACCAAATCTTATTTCACGAAGGCCACGTCGTTGATATATCTTAGTGGAAGAGGCTGGAGCGCCCACTCTACGAGCGTATATGGCCATGTGATCATGCCATGTTGTGCCTGGCCAGAGTTGAGATGACAGTACAGCGCAGTTTAGAAAGTGCTACAGCACAATCAGGACAATTCTGAAGCGCAGTGGAATTCACGCTACAGCATGGTCTTGACGGCGGTGTCGCAACAGGGTTCGGATTGTGGTATAGCTCTGCTGTCACTGGTATAGCGTCGTAAAGAGAGCTCTGTAGTACAGTAGCAGGGCAGTTGAGTCAACCGTATGCCATCACAGTCAGGACAATGGTGATGTGGCACGGTTGCGACAATGCTGTAGAATAGCCGAGACGATGCGACAGCCTATAGCGAAGTCTAGACAAGGTTGTTACACAGCGACTCAAGTGCCATAGCTCAATGGAAACAGTGCGGTGGATGATCAAGATGTATAGCACAGTTGCGATGAATGCTATGGCATCACAGTCAAGATGTTGTATAGCACACTTGATACAAGGCTATAATGCCAACCAAAATGGCACGGTATGAGCAGTTCTGAAGTGGATCTCGCCAAAATTCTGGAGAGTTCTATTGAAGGCACGCAAAGAGCAACATGGTCTGCAAGCAGCACACATGTGGCCTTTTTCACTCTGAAACTGCTCCACCGGGCTCCACTGCGGCCAAGGTAAGAAGAGTGTAAAAGGTGTGAGGCAAGAGGGTCCCAAGTCCTCTTTTCAGAGGTCTTTGGTCTGAAATCAGCACACAAGTGGTCTTTTTCACTTTGAAACTGCTCCACCGGGCTCCACTGCGGCTAAGGTAAGAAGAGTGTAAAAGGCGCGAGGCAAAAGGGTCCCAAGTCCTCCTTTCAAAGGTCTATCTTCTGGGAAGTTAGTGAGAGAGCCGTGTGATTGGCTACCATCTTGCACGGTTCGGTCAGTTGAAGAATTGGTTGATGGAGGCCAGATGGATGTTTGCTAAAATGCCTGACGGCTCAGTTCAAATGGATGTTTGCTATAACACCTGATGACTGTGGGCGGAAAGATGGCTGCCATCTAGATGGATGGTTAAATCACTGGACAATGTCGCCAGTGCCAGGGAGGAGGGGCTGTTGGATGGCTGTCGCGGAGCATCATGGAGAGAGGGGCACACGAGTTGGGCAGACGTGATAGTGATTGAGAATTTAGGGATTTATTGGTGTATTCATGTAGGGTTCATATATCCAATTGTTGCTTGAGTTGGTAGGATATAGGATCTTCTCACAGTCAGTGTGGGTATGTGTTAGGAAACGAGCGTTTTTTGTTGTGCGCGGCAGGGTGGCGAGGTGCAGTTGAATCGTGTAAAGTGTGAGTGAGCTTCGCAATTATGTGCGAGGCACGGTCAAGTTGCTGCTAGATTGCAGTGCACTGCTCACTTTTCCTGGGCGTTGCGCAGCTGGGGAAAGGACATGTTTCTTCGTAGGCATTTTCGGATGCCACTTGTTGAGTGCGAGATGCCCGAACTTGCTGAAGCAGGAGAACGAGTACGCGCTCCCTGCTCCTCTGCAATGAGGAGTAAAGCCTAAGCCAAAGATTGCTCAACTTGGGAATGTCGGTTGATATTTTTCGCCTGCTGCTGGCCATGAGCGAATCTGGTCTGTGGCTTAATTGGAAGCGCGGGAAAGCCACCCTGTCTTACTTGAAGAAGTCTACTACATGTTTTACACGTGGCAGTTGGCATGGTGTTATCAGCTTTCCGCTTACTCATGCCTCGCCTTTGCGGGAACGAAGATGCTGGCTGACTGGGAAATACACACACGGTGAGATGTACAGATGAGGTGAGCATGTAACTTCAAATCCCAATGTAGTCCCGTCGCAGTTCAGGTGTTGGTACTGTCTTTGCTCTTGCCGAGTGCTGTAAAGGGCCTATGTTCCTGTTTCTGAACGTAGCCGGTTCATCCTTCTGCAGATGTCAGGAGGCGAATCCGTCATCGGGTAAGGCCACCGGGGGTCACTGGCAAAGTGGGGAGTGCTGTGCTTTTTATCTACTAAGCTCTGGACGTGATTGTGGTCAGATTCATCGAGGTCTGGGCGTAATTGCTGTCAGATACAGCATTTAGGAAAGTGGTAGCGTGAGTAGGCACTAAGCATGTGGAGGTGGAATCAACTCATTTGAGAGCAGGGGGATGCTATCGGCAGCGCAGCAGTGGCAGTTGGTCTTGTCATTGCTTCAGCCGGTGGATGAAGAGAACTGCATAGCGCTTTGCGAGCTGTGAAGACCCAGTTGTGGCAGCTGGTCATGCCATTCGTTTCGCAGAGTCGTTGAGGTATGGGTGATGGCAGCATGTAGTGATTATCCTAACACTGCGAGTTTGTTATGCGGACGACCGTCGATTCCCATTCTGTATTCTGTCCATCGGCCCCAGGCCTCGTCCTACATGGCGGCTAGTATCTTGCACCATGTACTTCTCTGGCAGGCCAGTTCACTGATGCTTTGATGCTGATGGCTCTAACCCGGAGTGAAATTCTGGGGTATTGGGCGACATCGTACATCTCTCAGCCTGGTCAAGTCCGTGTGCACGACTTTGCATGAGCTCCGTGGGAGTCGTCAGTCTAGTTCCGTCCCATTGACTCTGTGATTTGCGTGAACTGGCGGTCGCCCAACGCACATGCCGTCACAACGAGATGTAGAAACTGGGCGAGAACGAACACAGGGTAAGAGGAAAGAGCAATTCACTCAGGGATCGACCAATATGTGACCATCGTCCACCAATATGTGACCATCGTCCACCAATATGTGACCATCGTCGTCGTAAACGAGGGTTCATGAGCGTGGCATTAAGAATGCTAGGTCACACACAGGTTGCTGCGTTCGGGTGAAAGACTGCAGATTGCAGGTGTGTCGTGATGTTGACCGTGCCCATGTTAATGGGAGTTACAGTGTCAGAGACAGCAAGGGGACGGTTCTGAGAATGGGTCTGCTCGCTTGCTGTGGTGGCCGATCCTATCGCATCCGTGTCGTAGTCCTGGGGAGCTGAACCCCTGGGGATCCCCGCGTGACAATGGTGGTCAAGGCAAAGGTCTCTTTGAGAGGGGAGTGTGGGTACCTTTGGGAGTTGGGTTCATTCGAGGATGTTCAAGCATCAACGGCCTAGTAAAGAGGAGGGAGGAACCAATAAGGAAGAAAGGTCCGCTAACTGTAAATATAGTTTCGTCGGTGTGCTTGGTAATAGTGACTTGGATTCACAATGTGTTTAACTGGAAGTACATCAAATGGAGAATAAATATGATGATGTGTGCCCTGTATTGTTGTCGTTTTATTACAGCGGAACGCGCACACTTGTATATGCTGTTGTGTGTGACACATGGTTTTGTCTTCTGGTGGTTCTGGATCAGATCAGGAGAGGCTTGAAGTTGCAGAACAGGGGAATGAATGGAAACTGCTGCAGAGTTCTAGTGTGAATGATGATCACTGCGATAATGAGGTCGTCGACAACGATGTTTTGGACAGTGACTTTCCGTCCTCATGCCTTTTACGCTGCGCTCTGAACGTTGATAAGGCAGGTAAGTCTGGTGCCAATGTAGCAGAGAAGGGTAGGATGATTCTGACAATGACTGATGTAGGCACCAGGACGATGAATGGCTTGCTTCTGGTTTGCATGCAAGAGTGAGGACATGTGGCTTCTTGTGCTGCGTCTATATTAATTAAGCTTGTGGTGGACAGTGTGAGCTCCGTTGTTACATTACTCAAGGCGGTGGTTTATGGTGCTACCTTCTTCTTCTTCTTCGTCGTCGTTGTCGTCCTCTTAGTCTTCGTCTTGGTCGTCCTCCTCCTCCTCCCCCACCTCCCCGTGCTCTTCGTCCTCCTCTTCTCCTTCCTCTTCCTCGTCTTTGTCCTTTTCGTCGTCTTCGTCTTCGTCTTCGTCTTCGTCCCTTTCGTAGTCCTCTTCGTCTTCTTCATTGTCGTTGTTGTTGTTATCGACTGTCTTCGTCTCCTCCTCCTCCTTCCCCCTCCTCTTCTTTGTCTTCGTTCTCCTCCCCTTCTTCCATTTTTAACTCGTCTTCCTTCTCCTCCGCCTGTTCTTCTTCTTCGTCTTCTTCGTCTTCTTCGTCTTCTTCCTTTTCCTCCTCTGCATTTCTTCCGCCTCTTCCACTTGTTCTCCTTCATCCTCTTCGTCTCTCTTCTTTTTCTTCTTCCTCCTCTTGCTCCTCTTGCTGTTCCTCTTCTCAAGGTTATTCACCAACGAGGCCCCATGTCGCAATTGATCGTCCATAGTCTTGGTTCTTTCCCTTCTTCCTCTTCTTTTTCTTCCTCTTCTTCCTCTTCTTCCTCTTCTTCCTCTTCTTCCTCTTCATCCTCATCCTCTTCCTCGTCTGCTGTTTTTCTCCCTGTTCTTCCTCTTCTTCCTCTTCTCGCGCTTCCTAGTCTTCCTCTTCTGCCATTTGGACCACCACCTTGAAATTCTTCCTGTCCTTGCTCTTCCTCGCCTCCCTCTTCTGCCATTTGCACCTTCCGCCTTTTATGTACTAGAACGCCGCCTCTGGAAAATCTTCTTCTTTTTCCTCTTCCTCGTCTTCCTCCTCCTGTTCCTCTTCTTCTTCCCCGTCTTCCTCGTCCACTTCATCTTCTTCCTCCTTTCCGTTCTTCTTCCTCTCCTTCTCTCTCTTCCTCTTCCCAAAGGATATCCACAAACCAGCCTCCCTGGGGCAACTGATAGTCCTTCCTGCCTGACTTAGCATCCTGCAGCATGCCTTTACGCTCCTCTTCTGAACACCACCCACCTTGTGCCTTTTTCGCTGTCGATTCGGACAATTCTTAGACGTTGCAATCCATCACCATTCCTTGTTGGTGATGTGGGTCTGTATGTCCGTCTGCTCCAGCCTAAACACTTGTCACCGTACCGACTACGAACGGCAGCGGGTTGTGCAAGATCTCGTATTGTGCCTGCTGCTGCATCTATCTGGCATTTGCATCACCTCCCGCTGTATTTGCATTTGCATTTTGTTTCTTTGCAGGCACTGATGCGAGCGTACTCCATGTTGCAGTGCAGCTGCGGGATCAGTGTATGTGCTACGGGCTGCAAGATTCATAGCCGCCGCCTGGAGCTTCGTTCTCCAGGTTTGGGGTGTGAGAGTTTCGGGAGTAGGAGTTATGGGCGGGGCTTTGTTCTCCAGGTTTGGGGTGAGAGTTTCGGCAGTGGACTGAGCTGCCTGGGGATTCTGCACGCTGCAATGGCATGACCATCCACAGTGCATTTGCGAAGAGCCTTCGTATGCACGCGCACGCGTGCGTGATGTGCTGGAGGTGGTGCTCCGAAGGTAGCTTGTTCCTCCTGCAAACCCCCCTGTGGTCGCGCGCTGTCTCGGAGACCAATGGGGTTCGAACTTCGAACTGAGGTCTGTAATTCAACAGCCGGTTTGGCAACAACTTGGTCGCATATCTTACACTCGTCTGAACAAAAGCAGCCCACAGTCGGTCGAATGATTGGCCGTAGCTGCTGGTACACAGCAGGCCAGGATGGTGACCTGATAGCGGGGCGGTTGCTGTAGCGACCTGACCTGATAGCAAGGTGACTGCCGCACTCCGTGCTCTTTCGGGGCTGTTAGAGATGTCGGCCTTCCTGTTGCCCGGCTTAGGCTGCAACCAAGCTGTCCGTCCGACCTGTTCTAGATGTTGTGGTATGTGTGTGATGTGTTCAGTATTTTGCTGAATCGGATAGAGAAGTGTATTGTGTTGGCCGCGTGGGCTGCACTGGGATGACAGACTGGCACAATCGGCCAGAAGAGGCGGTCTGATTAGGCAGAGGACAGGATATGATAAGGTCCCAGCCGGTACTCTCTCTGAGGCATTGCCTCGACTCGCATCCAGCCTCTGTTCGATAAACATTTCCTGACATTGCTGCCCTGTTATCGTTGGCGCCACCATTGATTCGACCTATCTGACCCGTGCTGTCTTTTCTCCGCTGTGCCCCTGTGCTGTCTCTATGCAATTGTCGAACTACCCCTTCGCCGATAGTTCAGATGTATAGAAACGGCAGTGAGCTCTCGGGCACCAATGTGGGTTCTCGCTTTCGCCCCTCCTATGTCCAGGAGCCTGGGGACCCATCCGGCGGCACTTCCGGTTTGAAACTCCCAACCTAGCGAGTCTTTTTTTTTTCGTCTGGCAGATGTTGGAGGTGCTTGACTGGCCCTGTGACAGACCTTTTTTTTTTTTTTTGTGGGAAGAAATTTGAGACCATTCCTTGATTTATGCACGTCGTCGTTGCACAGGGCCCATGCTAACCAACCTTCTTTGTCGCCGAGGACGCAAGCGACCTTTTTAAGAAGACAGCTGTTGTTGTCATCTCACATCATCCTGTCGTGTTCGGGGTGGATGTTGAACAATGGTGCCTGCCTTCAACCGGTCCTTCCCCGACAAACTGTTATTCGACCTCACCTTATGTCGCGTTAAAGTGGAGGCTGGATCCCTCCGCCGAGGATCGATCGGAATTGTCGAGGGCTTCGTTCGGCCATAACAAAAGGAGGCCTCGCATTAAAAGGTAATTCAGAGTTGTAAAATCTATGACATGCCGGTAGAACAGAGCACGGGGCCACGCGGAGGACCTGCGCAAAAGAACGAAAGAGGGCAAGACAGAAAAAAGAAAGCTCGACCTCGTTTCTGGCAGTTGCAGCTTCCCGCGAATATAAAAGACCCACCAGCCACGACCAGGCCAGAGTCTTTGCCGTTGTTTTTTTTTTTTTTTTTTTTTCCCCTTTCCTTTTGAAAAAAAAAACGCCAATGCCTTTGAGAAGTTGAGATATCGTATTGTGGAATTGAACAGCCCCTTGGAATTTGGAATGATGATCAATGATCCAGATTTGAACTCAGTTCGGTATTTCGGCAGTTAAGGGGTGTGTCCACTACTGAGCCAGGGCCTGTGGTTCTTTTAGGGATGTGTATTCTTTAAATAGAGTAGAAACGTTTCTAGTCGGATGAATTTGGCCCATTGATGGCTGCGGCGGGCTTCTTTGAACAATCCGTACTTGGTCCAGTTATCGGCCGTGGAAAAAAAATAGAGTAGAAACGTTTCTAGTCGGATGAATTTGGGCGCCCCGGTAGTAGCCCGTACGTTTCCTAAAATTGTGGCGCGTTAACGGGCACGACTCTAGGACGTACTGGTGGTTTAAAGTTCTTTCTTTTGTGCGGTTTTTTTTTTTTTTTTTTTTTTTTTTTTTTTTTTTTTTTTTTTTTTTTTTTCCTGCTGGCCGTGGACTTGCATGTTGGATAAAAAGAAAGGAAATAAGAGAGGGGCAAAACAACAAAACACTGACTTGTTAAGATGTATGTGGTCGCAATTACAGCCAAACTCGGATGGATCTGTGATTGCAATTACGTCCTGAAATCAGTTGGAACTTTGTGTGCGAGTGCAGTCTTTTCAGACCAACAGATCTCTGCGCAGATGCAAATAGGTCTCCATCCGGGACCGCGTATGGTGTCAGGGACCGGAAATCGGTCCCGACTTTCTTGTCCCTCGAAGACAAGAAGGTGGCGCTGCTTTCCAGTGCTGGAAACGGCATTGTTGCTTGGGACCTACATATGCTGGGATGCGTTGCTTCATATATGTACATCATGTTGGGCAGTTGTTGATGCTTCGCCACAGCCGCGGTTAAGGTGGATTATCACTTGGTGTAATCAGTTAGGGGATTCTGCAGACTATTGAGGGTTCGGCCTCTACTGATTGACGAGTCGGTGTAACGATGACGAAACAGTTGGTCACAGCCCCTCGTATGTTGTCCTCTTCTCCCTCTCTGCCTACGGTTTACCAGGCAGCTCAGGCAGCTCAGAGGAGTATATATATATATATAGCAGACTATCACTCACCCACACCAGATGGAAAAGTCTACAGACTGTCGGTTCACACCCCATCACAAGCAACAACCAAGCAAAACACCCACGAGACAAAGAAAGGTCTGTCACAGCCAAAATATACACTCCAGACACGCCGCTGGCACTAGAGGCACAGCATGGCCGCGTAGTGACGGCCCCGACCACTGCCGCTCGACTTGACCGGACAAAACCGTAGCAGAGTGCTCGCAGAGTGGTGGTATATATCGTCAAACAGAGCTTCCCGGTAAATCGTAGGCAGAGAGGGGAGGAGAAGAGGACAACAAACGAGGGGCTGTGACGAACTGTTTCGTTGGAGTTTCACCGATTCATCAGGATATATATTATATAAATTATAATAATGATATATATATATATATATATATTTGACGATATATATATATATATATATATATATATATTATATACATACTCTCTCTCTGCCTACGGTTTTACCGGGCAGTTCTGTTTGTGACGATATATACTACGACTTCGCTAGCTTCCTGCTACGGTTTTTTCCGGTTAGGTCGAGCGGCAGTGGTCGGGGCCGTTACTAGGCGGCCATGCTGTGCCTCTAGTGCCAGCGGCGTGTCTGGAGTGTATTTTTTGGCTGTGACAGACTTTTCTTTGTTTCGTGGATGTTTTGCTTGGTTGTTGCTTGTGATGGGGTGTGAACCGACAGTCTGTAGAGTTTTCCATCTGGTGTGGGTGAGTGATAGTCTACTTTGATTTTGAACTGGGGTCTGCATTTCAACAGTTCGTGGGTGTACCAACTGAGCGAGGTCGGTTGGTTTCCGCCCCCCCCCCCCCCCCCCGCCCCCCCTCCGTTTTTAGGTAGCACGCACACGAGGATCTTTGTGACTGATATCTGGATGCGTTTGCAGG